TATGCATCCAGTACAAGCTCAGCAGGTTGGCAAATAGTGCCATGTGATCAATTGCCACATAATGAGCTGGTTTGCATGCAGGGTGTTGCTTAAGAAGACATCGGTGCCCTTTCTTAGGGTCTCAGACTGACCTGCCAAACACCCATCCAATAGGAACAATGGGATACATCTCTGGTTCTTTACGTTCCCACGTGACCCAAGCACAAAATTCACAAGCTGTCATGGGATACGGATCTAGCTAGGTTACCCACCCTGGCCTTAGCTCTGGGGGTTTAACCCTCTTGTCCACTTCCCCATTTTCACATGTTCTGTCTCACATGAAGACTTAAAACACTTTTACTTGGGTGCATTCTAATACCCATGACATATTTTGTCCCAGTTCTACATCTCTTAGGTCAGTATTTTCCCTTTTCCCCCTAGAGCCAGAGTTCATACTGTCACTTGATGAATTTTAGCTTGAACAGTATTAATCACACGCTGACTGTAGAAACCTTCAGTTCCGTGGACTGGCGCATTGTTTAGCTTATTCCTTACAATCTCTAGGTCCATGCTCTTCAAACTCCAGGGTCTGTATTAACTGCTCCCAAACCTTGGCCAGTGCTGTCTCTCTCCAACCTTCCTTTCAGGTTTTGACTACCAGTCAGTATTTTCACCCAGGGTTTCAAAGGACTTTGTAAAGTTCAGAGAAATCTACTACTACTACTTCTAGTCTGGCTCCTAGCCACCCTGGGCTGTGGGATTTCCTCATCTTACATGGGGGTAAAGCCAATCTGCCTGGATGTCCAGCTGTGTGTGCACACCCACTAAATGTGGGGAACATAGTTCTAAGTGATTGGTCTTAGCTACTGCCAGAGCTGTAACAGGTAATGGGTGGTGAGTGAGCAAAAAGATTACTGAGGACTGTGGCAAGGGGGTACCAAGGGGAGAGTCCGGGATCAGCCTCTGGTCTCCTTTCCTTACCACTCACAGAATGCCCATTAGCCAGTGCCTCTCTCCTTCCTTTCCTCTCCAGCCACCACATCTGCTCCTTCTTCCCATTGCCCACTCTCCAGCTGGCTTTCCTCCTCCACTACCTCTCTGTTTTCTTTGGCCAGTTCCCCACTGTCTCCTGTCCCCTGCATTCTCTTCTCCAGCAGCATCTTTCTGGGGAAGAGAGGCTCTGGGGAAACAAAGGCTTTGCTCTCAGTCCTGGGGTGAGTAGTATCTGCTCGTCCGTAATTTGGGCAAGATCTGGGAGCTGCCTCAGGACGTGCACAGTGACAGAGCTGCCTGCTTGTGAGCCAGGCCCTGAGGAGTTGGGGCTTGAAGTTATGACCTACAAAAGGTCAAATCTAACTTCCTACTTTCTTCTCCAGTCCATTTCCCAAAATGCTCACAGCCTCAAGGGCAGGCAGCACCTGAAACACGGGCAGGTAGGCACAGAGAAAAAGGGCCAAGGAGAGAGAATAATATCACCATGAGGACCTTAATGCCAGCTTTGTATGACTGCTGTTCCTATGGATGAGATACGTTTTCATTGCATTCATCCAGGGACTTCTATCTAGTGCCTCTCTAGGTCTCTCTTGGGCTGGTCCGTAGGGCTGAGACTGAAAACACACTTCTGTCATCAGGGACTGCCTCAGTGTAGTCCTGAGTGCTCATGGAGCACCTTTCCTCCAGGGACCTCAAGGCCCTTTGCAAGGAAGGGAAGAACCAGTCTCCTCCTGTTGCACAACTTCTACCTTTCAGCCACATTTAATACCATTCCCTTCAATATAACTGCGATACCAGTCCCGACACTTGAGCTTGGCAGAAAGGAATTCTAGGGCAGTAAAGATCCCAGGTCATTTAGCAATGTTAAGGTATATTTGCTACTCGAATCCTTGGATTAGGTGGCAGTGAAATGTGCCAACCTTTGAATACAAGAGCAGCTGACCCAGTTCCAGAAGGCGTTGCATGAGATTGAGCTGAATGAAGCTGGGGTAAGTTTTCCTTTCAGATACCTGTCAGATAGGGAGGAGAAGGCACTGGGAAGCTTTTCAGTGTGCTAGTGATAGTGCTGTGGAAGAGGAAAAAGTGACAAAAAGCAGAAGACATTTCATTCACCTTCTCTTTTCCATAGAGGAAGGCTTTTGATGAGTATGTGTATGCTGACTGAATCTGGCTTTTTTTTGTGTTGTTATGTTTTGGTAATACAGCGGTTCATTTCTTTCTTTACTGAAAATTCTTACTTTTAATTTAAAAACAATGATTTCTCAGCCAAAAACTGTATAATTAAAAAACCCCCAACTACCGCTATTCCTAAAGACACGGTTCTTTATTTAGTTTTTAGGGGGGAGGGGTTATGCATTAATTAATGTGTGTATCTATTTTCCTAGCATTGGAAAGTCAGCAGTTCATGTGAAAATATTTCTTTCATCTTATCCCAGGATTCCATCACAAAAAATGCTGGAATTGTCAAAACAAAACGTCTAGGCATACTGTGCATTTCTCCATGAATATAAGAAAAGAAGGTGGAAAGGTGAGCTTAATGGGCCAGTCTTTTCTGAGCAACCAGTCCTTTCCCTTCTGCTTACAAGAGGTTGGTATTTTCAGGGGCACCAAAGGAGTTTGGGGCAGACTTTTCTAAGCACAAGAACCCAGGTAGGTATAGGTAGGCATGCAGGCAGATGTTCAAAATCATCTTGGTTCCACCCTGCATTGATTTCACTCATACTGAGCTGAGAGTCCATGGAGGTAATTATAGGATATAACCCACTGTTTGGTTATGGTACATGCGCCACACTTGTTCAGATGCCATCCATTGAACCTGCAGACTCATCCTTTTGAGTATTTGTTGAGTACTTGTTCATTCTGGCATCCACAGAAAGAAATATGCTCTACTTCAATGAAAAGTTACTGGGTTTGGAGCACAAAAACAGTCACACCACATCCCCATATTGCAGCCTCTCAGTTTGAGATATACACATGTAAAGATGGGAAGTCACATTCTGCCAAACAGAACAAGGCTGAATAATACTTAATTCCAAAAGGAAACCTGAGAATGACAAAAGGTACTAGAAGATTGTTCTACTATTATCCCGAGGAACACAAGTCTAAATTGAAGAAACTTTCTAAGGGTTCTGTCACAATGCCCTTTGCTTTCTTACGCTTTACCTCCACAAGAATCAGTTTCAACAGGACATTAAGTAATCTGCAGTCTCTTTCACCACTTTGCTTTGTCTGTTGTCCTTACCCTATTTTTTTCCGCACAGGAGAGATGAGCTATGGCATCTGTGGGAGAGGAGAACCACACAGCACTGACAGAATTCATCCTGCTGGGATTCAGGAGTGGTCCTGGGACTCAGGTGCTGCCTTTTGTGGTGTTCTTTGTGATTTACATGACAACCGTGCTAGGGAACATTATCTTGGTTCTCATCATTCGAATCGACCCTCGCCTTCACACCCCCATGTATTTCTTCCTCATGAACCTGTCTCTCTTAGACCTCTGCTACTCCTCAACCATTGCCCCCAAAGCCATGGACAGCTTCCTGCAAGGCAGGAAAACCATTTCCTACAATGGATGTGCTGCACAGTTATTCTTTTTTGCTCTCTTTGGCAGCACAGAAACATTCATCCTGGCAGCAATGGCATATGACCGATACATAGCCATCTGCCACCCACTCCTCTATCCTGTCACCATGTCCAAAAGAGTCTGCTTTCAGCTCATCATGGGCTCCTATATCGGTGCTGGCACAACTTCTATAGTGCAAACCAGCTTCACCTTTGCACTGAGCTACTGTGGAGCTAAAGAAATCAACCATTTCTTCTGTGATGTTCTCCCCTTGCTAAGCCTTTCCTGCACTGATAAACACATCAACGTATTGCTATTATTTGCTTTATCTGGCCTCGTCATAGTGAGCACATCAGGAATCATCCTCATCTCCTATGCCTACATCATCTATGCCATTCTCAGGATTCGCTCTGCCAAGGGAAGACTCAAGACCTTATCCACCTGCTCCTCCCACATGGTGGCTGTGGCTTTATTTTTTGGGACGGTTTCCTTTATGTATGCCCAGCCGGGTTCTCTGTCTTCCCCACATCGGAGCAAGGTGGTGTCTGTGTTCTACACCCTTGTCATCCCCATGTTGAATCCCATCATCTACAGCCTCAGGAACAAAGATGTGAAAGATGCTTTGAGGAAGACTGTAAGTGGGATAATGACTTCAAAGTAAGGCTGTTCTGTGAATAAAGAGCTAAACTACACCTCAGAGCAATCAAGTGAGAAATAATAAATATTTGCATGCATCTGTCTGTCTCTCTGAATTTTCATTAGTGCCCAACTCTCCCTCTATATTCATACATTTTGAGGCCTCTCCTAATAATTAAATGTGTAATTAAATGTATAAATGTTTTATTACAGTATAACATTTTAATTGACATATTTGTTTCAAATTTTAATTCCTTTTATTTTTTTAAGTGCTTCTCACCCCAAACTGTGGATCAAAACTGCCTTGAGTTTTAAGAAACACTTGCTTTCTAAGCACAAATATCACACCTGAAATCATTACAAGATAATGCTGATCTAGAATCTAATTGCATTTCCCTTTCTCTGCTTATGTGTATGTATGGCCATTTCCTTTAGTGGCTGACTCCACAGCTAAAAACCCTATCATTTCAAGAAGGGCTTAAGAAAGGATTAGCACAAGTATTCATCCTTGCAGTCAGCTACAGTTTTACCATTTACTCCAATGGGACTTTGTTATGCAAACAAAGAGTATTTTAATTCTTCAGCTGCTATTTTCAGGTTTCCCCACTGGAGGTAGTTGCTCAGTTCTCAGTGGAACTTAACTGTGGCTGGCAAACAAGCATTGTCCTTTGTTCAGGACTTAGGAAAACTGAGCCCAGAGACAAACAGGGAAGCTGGGCAGCTACTACACATTGGAACAGCTGGGACATCTGGCCACTGGTGCTTCCAGCATGGCTGTGTACCTGCATGGGCAGCTGTTCTTTTTCCATCCTCGCTCCAAGTCAGCACCTAGGGCTGCTCTCTCTCCACCTCCTCTGCTTTACTACCAGCAGGTACACATGCAGGATGAAATTATTTTGCCAAGGGGGAAATAGATTTACAAAACTGCCCAAAGGTACTAAAACCTGTAGGAAGACAATAGTGCCCATTTACGCATAAATCTGCAAGAGGAATTACCCTCTGTCCCGCAGGACACCAACACCCCTTCCCATGGGAGAATAGCACCTCTATGGGCCAAGACCCATGCTTGTGCCCAGCTTTTTAAACTAGCCACAGTGGCACTTAGAGACTTTTTTATCCAGGTAATCACACTGGCTAAATCCTTCCATGAAAACTCATTTGGATGCAAAACTAGTGCTCTGAGCATCGAACAATTTATAACCAGCTCTACCTGTAAGGCATGATTTTGTAGCATGCTTATTCATTGTCATCCAACAACCTATTCATTGAAAGAAGCATGTCAGTGTGCCACAGCTTCTGGTTCTTCAGCAGGGACTAACACTTCCCTTCCCAAGATCCAAACTTTGCAGTTTAGTACTGGGAGTGCAAAGGATTTGAATCATCTTCCTTGGAGTTTCCCCAGCCACTGGAAGCATTGAGCACTCAGCTCTGGCTGACTGCCCTCCTGGTTGGAGAAGAAAGCTTTGAGATCAGAAACTGCAAGGGCTCAACCATTGGCAGATCCAGGATTGCTGCAATAGAGGTGCAGTCCCAAACTTTTGGCTGTTCAGTGACACATGCTCAGTGAAGACTGCCCATTATATCTGTGCCACAAAGCCAAACAGGGTGTTGCCAAGGCCCCTCACTATGATCCTGGATGCCAGTGAGCTCTCAGAGCTCACCAGCACATCACTGCAGCTCTGCATGTGCTGTGAACTTCCCAGGGCAGGGGCTGCCTGGAGTCCCTGCTTTCACAGTTCCGGAGCCTACTTCTGTTCATTCTTCCCCGCCCTTCTTCTCCTTCTCCCCACTCCTGCAGCCCCTTGAAATTCAGC